AAAAAAAAAAAAAAAAAAGAAAGAAGAAAAAAAAATGCAAAATTACTGTTACTGGAAGAGGAGGAGCAGTTGCGACAGAGAAGAACTTTTTAATGTCAAGAAACTTACCGGCGGAAGCCAACGAAGAGACCACGAGGACCAATATTATGAGCTTTAACTAAAAAACAAGACCCTGATGAGCAATTTTTTGCCAACGAGAGCAGAATAATGATGTCATTATATAGATGCTTGAAAGTGATTAAAGACTAACCATCACGGGATTCTATAATGCGCTACTTCTGGCACAGGCGTCTCTAAAAATGCACTTTGAAGTTCAAGAAGTTGCAGTATTGACCCTATAGCCTTACTCTGCGATAAAACATCTATTTGTGCGTGCCGTCCTCAAATCTATACTGATGAATCATATTGCAAAAAATTGTGTTAAATTAACTATTGGTAAGTACATTTCCAGCTTTGAAAAGCCTGATAACTAAACGCTTCTATGTTACAACCAGTTGTTAACCAGAAAATAAATACCTACAGCACACCTAACAATTTTTAGTATCTTAAAAAACTTAGTTAAAAGTGGTTTAAGAAAAAAAAGCGTACAAAAAAATTCATTGTCTATCAGTTGTAGTTTTTTTCACTAACTTTAGTTTTATTGTCGATTATGAATAAACGTTGAAAAATCTAATTTCTGCATCATTAAGCTTATTTTTATTTTTAAACGTGACTTACATATTTCTATAGTCAATGTAACAAAACTTTCTTAGTGTATGAATAAATCAGTCTCCAAAAAGTTTATTTAACGTATAAAAGCAGAAATGATTACCTAACCAGACAGAAACTTTGCTGACGGTATCAGCTGAATTCTGGGGTCACAGTTAACCGCTAAAAACAATATATCATTGTTAACTAAAAATTCGGTTATTCATTTTGTACACTTTAAATAAACAACAATTATTTGCAAATCTTTAGTAAACTGATGCACTGAGAATACATTTCAAGACGCGGAAAAAATAGTTGAATCATCGAGGGGAAGACAGTCAAATGAGATCAATGCAACGAATTCGCAAAATCGAGAAATGCAATGAACTTTTCAATGCTTTGTTTATGTAGTGAAAGAACTGTTCGAGACCACCGCAGAAACCATTGAAAAACATGCTTTGACGCTTGATAAATCATACAAAAAACTTTTAAACTTAAGGTCTGCTAAACTATTGTCCAGTTGAGATTTTTTCTTTAATTCG